CCTTTGTAGAATGGATTTTTCCTTTTATAACCTATACATACGTCCCTAATCCATCGGTTCAGAAAAACCAATGGTGTTTTTTTTGTACAGTAGGGGGCTCTGAAACACATAGATTTCTTGAAAACTGCACAGAAATTTTTTATCTCAAGTCACCATATCGGCACTGTTAGTGCAGGCATGTTTTTCATTCTATGCTAAAGGTGGCATTTTGTAGTCTGCACATGCTATAAATAGTCTGCTATAATGGAAAATCGTAGAGAGAAAAAAAGTATGAAATTATATTAATAAATCTCAAAGAAGAACTCAGTTTTCATAAATGACCTTTTGTATTTACAATAGAGATATATTTTTAATTTAGTGGAAAGAAAGTAAAAAAAAAAAAAATGTCACCTTTTCATCTAAGTTAAGAACCAGAGATGCAGATAATGCCAAAGCAACTGAATGCGACACTGTGTATATGACGATTTAAAAACTAAGGTGTGTGCTTTAGACCACACGATAAAACTTAAAACATAAAAAAGGCGCGATTAATAATAAGAAATATAAATTATATATAATATATCATTATAAAAAGGATGAAATGCTGAACATTTCCCTCACTTATAGTATGCTGGTCCGATTTTTAGTTTCTGAGATATTTTAATCCATATCTTCCATAAAACTCGTTATCTTTTGGTTTTCGACACCATTTTTCCTTTTCGCCTCTTTAATTCGGCGTTACATTAAGATACAATTTCGAATAATAGCCCATTACAGAGTGAATTAAATTCTGATCAATTTGATGCAAAACTATAACTCCAACATAATTTGCAGCAGCTGCAACAAGATAAACGGATTAAACGATCTTTATTGAAAACGTGATTTTCTTATAAACGAAAATTTCGTAATTTTGTTTTAATTTTTTTGCCAATCTGATGATAATAAAAATGATAATCTACGCTATCTATGATAGGATATATATATATATATATATATATATATATATATATTAGCTCTCCTCAGGAGCGATGGATTTTGATGAATGAGATACCAAAAAGAAGCGAATTTCATTCAGAATTGATGAATTACAATTCCGATTCTTAAGCTTATACCGCAACATTAATAAAGGTCATTGAAATGAATAGTATTTTCTAAAACTCAGCTAGTATGATGGGGACTGAGTCACTAATGTACAGAGAAACTTCTTTTAGCGGACACTTCTCTTTAGCGGACTATTTTATAAAAATAAAAACTCCTATTCCGCCACAACCTATGAAGGGTCCTGATTCAGTATTTTCTAAGGAAATATTGTTTCTTAACCAACGGTTGTGCACTCTCTATCGCTAAGTTTTTCCTCCTCAATTAATATTTAATTAAGTGTACCCGTTTTATAGAGGCTGGGTTTGTCTCGCGAGGGTCCTTCGACTCTAGAGTGGATCCACTGCCGAAGAAACGGAATAAATCATATATCAGCCGTCAGCCGGACTCGAACATGGGAACTTTAGCATAGGAAGTAAGCGCCCTACAACTGAGCTATCCTTCTCCCGGACTGTTTTATAAGCCCTATCACATTTAAAATAATTTTATAGTATTAACGTCTTCCGAAACCGGACGCTCTGTATAATGGATAAAGGCAACATAGATCCTAGTATTTTGATAAAAAACAGCGTGGCTCATATTTTGCTTTAATTTTTTTTTTAATGTATTTTTTTATATGTGTACTTTCTTTGTCTACTAATGTTGGTTATTGAAATTAATGAATTTTTCTAATAACTCATTTTCGCAACCATTATCCTCTAGCCCAATAATAAATTAATGCATATTAGATGTCATTGTTATTTTTTTTAAATTTATTCTCATTCATTTTGAAAATATAAAACAATTAAGAGAAACAAGCTGAAACGTAACTATCTAATCAAATATCCAGCAAAATTAGTACTTATGTAGGTGGCGGTTCCCGTAATCTCGTTTTTGGATTAAAAACTACACTTTTAAATACTCTTCGTAAAGAAAATAATTTTTTAGAAAAATTTTTTGTTGGTGATTTTTTTTTTTTGCTTTCTGGAGAAATGTAATATATTACATATTATGTTGTGAATTAATCTTTTAATTGTATTTAAAAACAATTTTCTCTACATTAAAATGATCTTTTTTCACCGAAGTAAAATTAATTTTTAACTAAAAAAATTATTTGAAAATAAAATGTGTTTTTTAATTTACGATGTAAAATATTTTATAAAGTTTATTTTTTTACGATACAGTCTTTTATCTATGTTACTTGACAGACGTCCAAAATTATCTTTGACTAACAAACTAACTCTCTATAAAGTTTTATTTAAACCAATTTGGACTTATGGCATAGAACTGTGGGTTTCTGCTAAAACTTCCAATATTAAAAAAATCCAGTCTTTCCTATCCAAAATTTTACGAAGGATAGTTTACGCACCATTTTATGTCGCAAACGATAGATTACATAAAGATTTGAACATCCCAACAATTTTGGACACTGCAAAAGAAAACTACAATAACTTCCATCAAAGACTAACTTACAACATAAATCCTCTGATAGAAAACCTTAAACGCACTAGAAACCCGTACAGCCCACTTCGGCGATTACTTAGACGGTGGCCAAGCTCTGGGACGTGGTGGCAAGCTGTGAAGCTGCAAAGAAATTTGTGGATCGCACATTTGATTTGTATGTTTATGTATTAATAAATAAAGAAATATCTTTTTACGGAATGCAAAAACATTCTCGAAATTAAGTTGATATAATTTTGACGTAAAAAAGTCCTTTTTATTTACTTTCGTCTCCCTTGATTGCTCATACATCCCAATTTCTGCCCCTTCATTATAGACGCATTGAAATATGTCCAGCCACGGAATGTTTCAGACTCTTCATATCTTATCGTCAATTGTATTATAATAGATATTCCAGAGATATTATAATTCCTCCATAATAATGAAAGACCTCCTCTTTAGTTCCTGGAAGAGTTCTATCTCCATCGTTTGTCTTAAGTAAACAATTCAGCTATGAGTTCCCACCACTTGGTAATCTGTTCTACTCGGAAGCCGGTCTCCTAAAACATTAGCGTATTTCTACGAATCATATCTTACTCAGAGACCAGTAGAAAATCGTTTGTCCAATATCATTATTCTCTGGTGTGAATGGAGTATTTACAAATGTTGGCGTATTCGGCCAGAGTATTGGGCAATGTTGGCTTATTCCCTCATTTTGATCGTTCCTGAGCGTGGATCTTTAATATATCAAAGGAGCTTGGCCATTAAAAACTGAGATGTCCTTTATAAATATAAATTGTACAGAATATCCCGTAAGTAGAAAAATAGATTTAAAAGATTGATTATAGACATTAATATCTATTAAAAAGTTCATATTAACTATTGTACAATATTTATTTTTTTATTGTTTTATTATTCATTGCAAAAGAAAACTACAATAACTTTCACCGAAGACAGATTTTAATATATCTCAATAAAGACTATTTAAAAAAAAATAACCTTTAAGTCCATATTAATTTAGTTGAAGTTTATTAGGGAAAAAATTGACATTCACCTCAAGTTATGTAAAGAACTGATGTGATTTCTTATCCAATCACCTAAAAGTACCCGTGTTTTCAGCAAAATTGACTACAATTAACTGTTGCAAAGCTTTTATTTATTGTTTTTCCGTGTTATGGCAAGTATTGTAATTAACATAATTGTCTAAAAACACATTTTCTGATTTTCTCCCTGATACCCATCATTGATGGAAATTGATTGGTATTTATATGGGACAAACTTAATGTTTCTTACTAAATTTTACTTTTAAAATAAAGAAACCAGATTGCTTCAATTATTTTCATTAAAACGTAAATATTAGGGCTTGAAACATGAAATTTGTTACTTATAAATAAGTATCAATTCCTATCACATAAATCTGAGAAAATAACATAAAATAGCATATTCACTTTACGTGAAAAATTATGATTTTTTTATTTTTTGTATTTATTTAATCAATTGTGTTTATTACAATACTTACCATAACACGGAAAAACAATAAATAAAAGCTTTTCAACAGTTAATTGTAGTATTTTTTTTGCTGAAAACACCGGTACTTATAGGTGACTGGATTTAAAATCACATAATTTCTTTACACAACTTAAGATGAATCTCCAAATTATTCCTAATAAACCTCAATTTAATTAATATGGACTTAATGATTGTTAAATGAGTATACTATACTCCATTTTTTCCAAATCAAAATTGAAAATCACACAACAACTAAATACTTACACTTACCTACTCAAACCCATATGGACATACGCCTCACAAATCTACGCTACTGCAAAAAAAACGCACTTACAAAAATTACAATCATTTCAATCCAAAATTTTAAGACTAATAACAGCAGCTCCCTGATATGTAATAACAAAAGTTTACATACTGACTTAAACAACCGACTATCGACCAACACATACATACTCTCTACTCCCGATTTCATCATAAACTACACGGACTTATTAACGACATGGCCACAGTTGACAGGCTCATCAGGAGAGGACTAAAGAGGAGCTGGATGAGAGATCTCCTTTCCTAAATTATGAAGTAGACCAAGATCAGGAAGAGATACTGATCGGTACTAATCTTCCTCATGGCTTAAATGCCAATTTCCTTTACAATGAGATCACATCTGCTTATTGTCAATATTATGACAGGTGTGGATAGAAGTATGAAAAGAAAAAGAAAAAAAAAATGATTTTTCTAAAACTGGAATAAATGTACTACAAAAGATGATAAAAAAAATTACAAATAATTTGACTTTTTTTTTATAAAGAATTTAGCTATGTTTGTTCGGTTAAAATTCTTCTTTAAATAATTCTAACAATGACAAATTGTACTTTCGTTTAAAATAAATTTTGTTGAGCTTACAATGGAACATTTTTTCATTACTTGAAACAAATGTTTTTTTATATTATTGCTTCTTCTTCAACAAAAAATGTGACGCATAAAAAAAAACCACAATTCTAAAATTTCCTAATTTTCAACTGGAAATGAAGCAATGGTTTATATAAATGTGTTTTTACAGATGTTGATGTCTACTATGGATATTTTAAATATTCTTCTATACTTGCAGAACACCCTGTATATTAAAGAACAGAGTAAACTACAGGAGAAATATATTGAAGAATGTCCTTGCCGGTTCCAAACACCTCATTATTTTCCTGCGTAATCGCCCCTCCCCTACATCACTAGGCTAGCTATTAACCTCCACTACTATCGTGAAATCCTTGGAGTTCCTGGAGTCGTGTGGTTCCATGTCTTGAAATATATAGCTCTAATTACATGACTGTCGTAAATATCTTACTCACAAGCCATGTGGAGATCTTTTTCGAACCCTATCCTTAATCCTCTCATTAACCTGGATTCAAACCTGCGCCACTACTGGAAGATGCTTCCATTTGCTGTACCTCACCTTGGGCAGGATCGAATAAGGATAATTAAGCCAGCCAGGACCTTCCTTGTCCTCGCCGAAATAAGGACGAGGTTGGGGTATTATCGAGTAGTCGTTATCGCGGGGCATTGTCAACCAACAGCGTGGCCTATTTCAACGCAGCAGCGTCAGGGTTTATTGTAGCTCCTTATAGTCGGTAGGAGAATTTCCGTCCCCTGTCTAAGTACCGTGGACTATATGTGTATGTTTCAGTGGAACAAAGCACAATAGAAAAAAAAAATTAATTTTAGGAGAATAAAATGTATTTTCTTAATTCCTTCAGGTCACCAGATAAAAATTAAAAATGAATAAAAAACCGCAATGTAGTGCGAAGTTTAATAAATTTTGGATATTTTTTTTCATGCAATTTAAAATTCTTATACACTGACATTCAAAAAATTCCACCCACTTGATTTTTTCATCTTAAAATATTTCTGCTTTGGATTGGTCTATTGTTTTTAATGAATAAATAGGTAATATTTTTATTTGTTTTCAATAAGGAATGTTAATATAGAGGACAATAACCCTTATTCCTTAATTCAATGAAATGATTCTAGATTCCAATGTTTACTTTCTATGGAATCAAAATGTTTATTCAGTATCATTGGTTCAGTGCCGTTTCTTGCAGCACATTTCTTAGTCTCCGATTTTTAATTTTTTCAATATTAAGTTTAAAAATGCTTCTTAGTGCTGAGGATGTTGCGCGTGGTGTGGCACTTATTGATGATGGACGTTCTATTACATATGCAGCTAATACCATCGAAGTTCCATATGAAACTTTACAAGACACCGTCAGGTGTTTACGGGAAACTGGTTCTTACAAGGCCACGGGATGACCGGTTTTTGACTTTGAGAATTTTACGAAACCGGCACCTTACCGTTGTTCAAGCGATTCATCAGCTCGAAGAAGTTCGAGGTGTGCAAATTTCTGAACGCACCGCTCGGAGAAGATTAAAAGAGTTTGTATAATTGGCTTTTCGTCCAGTAATAAGACCAGAGTAACACGGCTGGCTTTTGCTCAAGAACACAGCCATTGGACTATGGACGAATGGAGTGCTGTACTTTTTACAGATGAGTCAAGATTCGCTCTTCGATCTCCAGATGGGCGTGAAAGGGTGTGGAGAAGAAGAAACGAAAGATATGCTGCCTGTAATTTTTCCCAGAGCCAACCTTTCCAACGTGGTTCCTCAATGGGTAACAAGTGGGTGGAATTTTTTACCTGTCAGTGTATATGAAATTCTACCAATTATAGTGACGTAACTGGGTGGATTGGCTATTAAACATTGGTCTAAAATAAAAACATTCATGGTTGTAATGGAAACTTTTATGTTTTAAACACATTTATGTGGTCATTTCAATTTCTGTCCGATTTAATCGATTACATAATGATATTTTACTTTCGATATTCAAATCCAGGTCTCCGCTAACTAAACATTTTTTTCTTGCTAAATAAACAATAACATTAAATAAGTTGACCCTAACGAGGTGATCAGGAATGACTCAATCACTATCTTCACGAATGATATCGCCATGAATCACAGAGATCTTTCGTCAATCCAAGTCCAGAGTTCGGCGATAATGTAACTCGAATACCGTCTCTATCTAAGGGCGTCCTTTCTGCACGATGTCATCTACACATTGATAGCAAAGATAACTTAATCATAATATTCGCAATTTTAAATTTTGCCTATATTTTGTGAAATAAGTTCAATAGATAACTAAATTCGAGGTTTGTTATTATCAAAGGTGTGCGTGCATACCGGACCGTGGTACAGACCCCCCATCAAATTATTAAAATATACCTGAAACTTCGTATGTGGCTTCATTTTATAAATTAATAAATTCATTTTATAAGCTTATAAATGCTTTTGAATAAACAATATTTTTTCCCTTCCATACATATTTGAAATTTATAGTTTTCTGTTTCGAAAGGAGGCTACATTTATACGAATTGAATTGGAAACTGCAAAATTTCAAATTATAATAATATATATGTCTTTGGAATTTAGGACAGGAGTGTATTACAAACTTAATCTAAACCTTTCTTGAAATCAAACCGTGAAAAAAAAGTAAAATAAAAAATTTAGTTCCAAATGGCCAATAATACACATTTAAAATTTTTTTTTCTTCTAATATTTGTCTATATACCGACAACCAGCTAGTGTGCTATCGAGATTTGGAGTTAGTCATTGGTAGGCGTGTGGGAGAGGAATGATCAGCAGCCTCCCATCCTATCTTAATTTTAATATTTGAGTTAGTGGAGGAGATCCTCATCCAACTTATTTTGAGCCTCCTACGATGTTATGTTATCAGACATGTTGGTAATGACCAATAAAAGACTTCAATCAGTGGATTGATATATCCGTGTTAAGGTACTATTTTGCTGGTACTACTTTGCTGTTGGTATTTATTTATTTATTATAAATTCATTATATAAAATTACAATTTTTTATCTAGAAAAAATCTCAGTAATGAGGCGTTGTTTAATTAAATTAATTGATTTAGTATGGTATTAAAAACTCATAAATACTCGTTTGTTTCTCATTAGAATCGTAAGAAAATTTGATAACAATATAGATAAAAAAGGTGGCCTACAGAAATTTGGGCGGTTTGGCCTATATAACCTCATTATTTTGACAAGTTGGAGGTAAAGGTCATGCCAAAGGGCCCAGAAGTAAGCCACCTTTTTTTATCGATTATATGATTATGTTATCTTACGATTCAAGTGAAGGGGAAATGAGTGTTCATGATTTTTTAGTATTTAATTAAATAATAAAAATCCAAATTGGTTACGATGAGAACAAGCAAAAAAAGGATCTGTATTACGTACTATACCCGTACATCTCTGTGAAGTTGGTATCCTCTACTCAATTTTTTTTTTTTTTTTTTTAGTTTTTCTATTATCATACTATTATCATACTTAGGATTTAATGTTGGGCTAGCTAAACTTTTTTTTTAACGGTAAATAGAGGAAAAATGATGCTTTTAGTGATAAAATATTTATATATTTTCTTGACACGTTCTTATCTCCACTTTTACTTTAAAAAGAGAGTAAGTTCAATAGGAAACTAAAATATTAAGTTTGGTTCGTCACTATTGAAGTTAGAGAACTTAGTATTAACAAAAAATGTCCTTAGAATCAAAATTTTTATGTTCTAAGCCGGACTTTAGACATTCCAAAAACAAAAACACAAGAAACAGCGTCCAAGCATCACATTTCTGTATTTCCAGAGAAACAGATATTGGGAACCGCATTTACATTATTCTATAATAACATTTAAAAGAAACCAAAAGAAAATTAAGATGGAAGAAGGCATACAATTCGTCAAAGAAAATTGTGCATGAAGAAAATTCATTTAAATCTAGCAGTACCGGCTTTGCCTGTATTTTGAAAAAATGCTCATGCGTCATAGCACAAATTTACAGAAAGTTTGGGAAAATTGTTTCAAATGATCTGGCAAATAATTTCATTAATCTTCATTTAGCAATCAAATTTTAAGGAAGATTTTATAGAATTTTTTAAATAAGCTTTGTCTTAACTGTGTATCTGAAACTTTTCAAGAAAATAAAATAAAAATAAAACTTATAAGGAGCTTTTATAAAGTGGCTTTAGCTTTTAGTACTAAAGTTTTATGTTTAATATGAACGTTTAATTTTTATTTGTTTAAGTTCCTACAAGAAAAGTTACGTATAATGAAAAATAAACAGTAATCGGGCTTAGAGTCATAAGTTATCTTAAATAAATTACTTGATTCTAGAGTGTCGTTTATTTCAGTAACTAAGAATAAAGTCATTTTTAGATCGAATTTTCTCTAGCACTTACTCGACAAACGCTCTAGTTTTTCAGTTGATTACAAAAATATCATATACATGACTACAACAAGACTTATTTGGACTTACGGAGTTGAGCTATGGGGCTCCACTAAACCATCGAATTCTTCACGTATCCAATCCTTACAATCCAAAATCCTCCGTGAAATCCTCAATGTTCCTTACTATGTCACTAATAATCCATAACAAACTTAATGTTCCTTATGTTTCCGATTTGGCCCAATCCAGATACCTATCCTTCCATAATAAACTTCATAACCATCCCAACCCTCTCGTTTTTAACTCTGCTTCCTGCTCGATCCCTGATAACTCTCCTAGGCGTCTGAAAAGAAAATGGCCTCGTGATCTCCTAATTTAGATGCTTTATTAGACTGCTACCGATGGGTAGATTCTCTACAAGCCTTATCATCTCATATATTTCTTTGTATCACATTTGTTGAATGTATATTAATTTGTATAGTTGTAAATTTCATAAAAAATAATAATATAAAAAAAAGAAGTGGTTTATTAGTCTATTCCTTTAAAATAAAATTATAACATAAGTAAAATGTATGCATTTTTATTGACATAACATTATTTACGTACATTATGTATTGTATGGGTTGGTTCCTCTTAAAGGATTCCATACTATCAGCACTTCCTCCCAACAAAGTGTAATATAAAATTTCGAATGCATTAAAGTGGCAGAGCTAAAAATGTCAGATATGTGTTTAAAAAAAATAAAAGAGATATATAAATGACAATAAGAGACAAGATGACATATCGATAAGATATAGGAACTTTGAACGTGGCACTCGATCTAGAAGGCTGTTCACCTTCGCTCTCAGATATCTGTCTTCTCGATTCTCGAGAGTTCGCTTCGAGATTGTTCAGTCCTGTTGTTGTACCAGCTCAGTGCCCACGCAATCCTTCTTGTAGTCTTCCAACGAGGGGTAAGTTATTTTTGGAAAGTATATTTACTATATTTAATAGATGATTCCTCTTACAGTTTAGGTGAGTTCATAAATCCAAAATAGGATACCGTTAAACTCTACAGTACCTGCTGATAGATAGATACAGTCCTTTGTAATGGAATCGTAATGTACATAGTGTTGCCGAAATGCGAGATTGAGACGAGTCTTGGTCTTGCAAATTCATTCTTGGCCATGGTCTTGCGCAAGAGACTCGCAACAGTCTTGCAGTTAGTTATCAGCTTATTACTATAGACATACTACTGTAATTTTTTAGATAGGAGAAACTTAACTAAGCCCAAATGAAAAATTAGAGGAGTTAAATGCAAAAGTATATCGGTTCATATGGCAACTAAGATTGCCAAGTATCAGTAACAATTTTGCCTTAATTTGTATTCAAAAAATCGATTTTTTTTTACCACTCCTTGTCTTGGTCTTGCAAAAGTTACG